ATATACGCGAAGAAATTACCGTCAGTGCGAAGCGCCACTGCGTTCGAAATGCTACGGTATAAAGTGGTAGTCCACAGGCATCACCAGGCCCACTCGATACTGTACGTTTATGGATGGCGGTCATACTGCTATTTGTTAACATATGTTTTATTTGTGCACAAATGCGCATTTACGTCTGTGCTTATACTTTATAGTGTACATCAAGCTGTGTATTTATTGTCCCAGGGACCCAGGCCCAGGGGGCTCTCTACTAAGCTCAGCTTTTTTCTCATTTAAACGTTTTCAAATTTCAATCGGATGAACATATGAAATTGCCTTTAACGTAAACACAAATACGACTAGGGCTCCAGAACTTGAAGCCTTGGACTTTGGAGTCTTGGACTCTCTTGTTGCCTTCTCTTGTTGTGGAAGTTGGACTGTAGGAGGGACTTGTCGTTTTCGTTATTTATTTATTTATTCTGTATCGTGTTTCCAAAAAAGGCAATTATCGGTATATATGTAATATGAATGTCAATATTTTAAAATAGCGGATGTTACGGCATTTTAAATAGCATATACTACATATGTACCTCTATCTTATATCCGGTGAATGCACAGTGAACCCGAGATCTCGTACATATGGTATTTATATTTTGTGGCTGTATGTATGTTCACAACGAGGACTGGTGTCCTAAAGCATAATTCTATTGCCAATCTCAGGGCCAGCTTCGATCATTCAAAGAGTACATAAGAGTTTGCCTTCCACCCCCATTCTTTCATTCAAATCAATCAATATATAAACTGTTGTGCCGATTGGGCGTACCGATGTTCAATTAGCAGGAGAATTACTACAGTATAATAGCAATCATACTACTAGTAATGCGTTTAGTATTCGTCACTGCCCTTTAATTTTTTTGTATCTACATAAGTACATAGTTTACCCCAGTATATAGTTGACCAGACTAAATTCTACAGCGCATTCACATCCAGTCGTTATGTGTGCGGTAAACCCCTCAAGCTCCCTATCGACTTCTGATAGGCGACGTAACAGTGATAATGTCATCACCTATCACCAGGCATTGCACAAAAAAAATAGAGTTTGTCGTTTGCATGCGAAATGGATGAACTGGGCAATTCGTTGGGCCTACTTTATCCGTCTGCTACATACTGCACAAATAATTTATAGATTCTGTACCCTCTTGAGGTTTCAGTCCTTGACCCACTCACCAGTCACCACTGACTCAGGGCTAGGAATCACTGAATAGTGAATTAGGATCCATCTTTTTGTTTTTTTGTTTGGAAAAATATATATTTTTCTGAATAAAATCTAAAAATAGATATAAATAGCTTTTATTAATGAGTACTCTTTACTTTAAGAGTAAATTTCAATGTATGTCGTCACTCCTCTATCATGGACTTCTGGTGACCTGGACCAGTAGAGTCCTATGAATCTCTTTTTTTAAAAACAAGTAATTTTACCATATGTAATAGAACATAGTCTTTTAAAATACGTTCTATGTACACATATATATGCACACATATATGCACTATCAACTATGTACTATGTATGTAGCTAGCGCCCAGCAGACAGCAGCTCCACTGTCAGTCTGTCACATCATCATCTGTCGATGACACTCGACAGACGACAGTCATGAGTCGACTTACAAGTTACAACTTCACAAGTCATGTGAGTTGAGAGTTCACAACTCGTATAAAGCATATGTAGCCTTTTGTCAATTTATTGAATTTTCAGAAGGGCTATGTGTAAACTGTAAAGACCAAATAATTTTATCTTGCTCCAGGGATAATATTCAGAATATTCTAAAATGTTCTTCATCGACAGTCCAGACTCCAGATTCATTTTGAAGTCATATGTAGCCTGTAGGAGCCCAGGAGTCCACGACTGAACTTCCGGTCTTCCACCCAGTTCCCCACCTTGTGACCTCCTTTCTGTTACCAGTGTAAACTCGTAGGATTTTTAGCAGCTGAGTGAGCAGCCTCGCGGAGTGACTATTTTCTGGCAATATAGTTTTATGCAACTCTCAAGTCTCAAGTCTCAACTGTATTGCTGATTGGAGTGATTGCAAAACTAAAATAGGAAACACGACTGTCTCTTCACTCTCTAGTGAGTGAAAGAGAAATAGAGACGGCTCAAGATTTGAAGATTGAAAAAGAACAAATTGAAAGTTTTTCATAGAGGTACGGACGGCAACACCATATATAATGACTAAGGCGTTCGACTTCGAGCACCAAAACACAGGTGACTTATACTAGTCGGCGTATTGCATTAAGAGTGCAAACACAGGATTAGTTATACATATATTATATAGAATCATGCTTTCAAAGGTATACATAGCTTTTATCCTGGCAACAGTTGCTGTGGCACGGGATGATGAAGAGGAGAGTTATGTGGACGTTGATATTGACGACACAAGCGATGAATATAACACTGATCTCGATATATATGGTAGCCAAGAAATGGAGGGTGGATATGACTCAGAAGAAACAGGCTGGTTAGGCCGATTGGAAAGCAGGAAAGGAGGGTGCACAGTCTCACTGGTCGACCCGGAATGGATTCTCACAGCCTCACATTGTGTGACGAACATACAATTAACGTGTAAAGACAAGGATTGTATTTCGGATTCGGTGTATGATGGCTCCGTGTACATGGGAGGAGTGAACGGTATGTTTTCCGGTGTTGACGGAGAAGTGCGAGGGGTGGATTATGTAGCAATCCGAGATGGTGATGCGAGTGGCAGTTTGAGAACAGAGGACATTGCTTTGCTTCATCTCGATTATGCGGTTTACACCGATTTTTACCCCCATATTGTGACTGAAACTTACAGGGGAGAGTTTTCAATGAAATGATACTGTAAAGATGGAAACGACCATCCCGTGCTACAACAGGGTGATCATATCCAACAGACTGACTGCGGCGGCGACGACGGATACATCTGTTACGAACGGAATGGCTTACAAACCCAGAGCGACCACGGTGATAGTGGTGGCCCGGCTTTTTATACCCAGTCTAACGGCGACATCTATATATTTGGCACCGTTTTCGGTTAGTTGCGTATGCTTGGCGCCAACACCGATATCGCACCTCATGCAGCCTGGATCAAGTCTACCATCGAAGGCGGCAAAAAAACATGTGGTTCTCACTGTACGGGTGGCTCTGACAGTGTACTGTGTGATACCAATGAGTTCACCAAATGCGACAGCATCTGCCAGTGCGCCTTATCAGTCCCTTCGCAAATACCAAGACCTTCTGCATCACCTGCGCGTACTCCTTTACCTACTCCTACACACACCAAGGCGCCAGTCCGTAAACCTGTGATAACCCCAGTCGCCCACACACCCGTGGAGCTCAAGCCGGTGGTAGTTGAACCGGTACAGACTGCAGGCTGTGACCACCCCACTGGAGGCCGCCAGGCCACTATCCAATGGACGGCAGCGTGGAGATACCTCAATGATTGTGATCTGTTAGAACACTTCAAGGACACTGTGATGGGAGCCGCACCTTCCGCTGCGTGTCTCAGAGAAGGCTTCATGGCTAAGGTGGAGGAACTATACAACGCTCAGCGTTCGGAGTGTGGCACCAAACGTCGTTCAGTGTTGTCTGGTGGCGATGAGTTTGTGCTAACATGCACACAGAAATGGACTAAGGCTGGTCGTAGTAGCGATGGGTGCGGTAGGTTCCAGGCCGAGAGGTTGTGATGGGGACAATCGCACAAGTGTAACGGATTGCCCACGTGCTCGCAGAGAGTCTGTTGCCAGGCCTAGTATACGGATACGTTTGCGATCCAACGCGTTACATTGACAAAGAAATTAGAATAGTACTTTGAAGCTGTCTTAAGAGTACACTATAGATTATAACAAGCCTGACCCAATAAATTCACGATACGATTATACTATACCGATTTGTCGCTCTTCAAAACACCTGAATGGGATAACGCAAAGATACAGACAACTACGACAGGTGCAGTTATATAATGCAGATCATTGCCCACGTTCGAAGAGTTTGTTGGCAGACAAATTATATATATGGTTTATATATATATATATA